AGCACACATTAAGCTGACAAGGGTGACTGACACAGCTGAGGGTACCATCAGGAAACAGGCTGTCCACACGGTGCCCAGTGTCTTTTTTTTTTTTTTTTTTTAATGTCTTTTTGTGTTTTTAAGACAGAGTTTGGTGTGCAGTTCAAGCTGAGCTTGAGCTCACTTTGTAGCCCAGGCTGGTCTTGAACTTGCAACAATACCCCTGCCTCAGCTCCCTAGTGCTGGGTTACAGGCGGGCACCACCACACCCATCTTTCTTCACACCACAACTCAACTCCGCACACTCTTCCTGTGCTCCTTTGGGAGTCAGAATTCTGCCTAATTCTACTCTGCAGTCTAAGATTCGATCTCTCTCACCAGAAGGACAGGTCTCTCTCCTTGTTGAGCCTACGTCTGCTTCGTGGGTTTTGTGCAGAGGGCATCCTCCTCTTCAGCTGGACGCGCATCTCTCTGCTTCAGGCTGCAGAGCTTGGGACCAGGCAGCCCCTCAGCCCTGGCCCCAGCTGCACTTCTGGAGACGGCTGCCTCCACTCTCCTTCTCTGTGGCCAGCGCGACAGTTTCTTCCCAGGTCCTTCTTGGTGCCATCTCCTCATTCTCATGTGAAATTTTTCCCTAAAGAAACTTTTCCTTATTTTGTTTCTTTTCCCATTCTACTTCCAGACAGAATCAGCTACCTAAAATCAGACTGGCATACTGAAAAAAGTTTAAGCCAAAGACTGCTCTTCCTTCAGAATTTAAGGAAAACAAAATCACATTTTCATTTTTGCTTAGCATCTTCTGTACTAATATCTGCTATTTCCATCAGCCCAGGGTAAATTTCATTTGTGGAACTACATTCTGTGGAGAAGATACAAGATTTAGTCTTATGCTCTATAATTAAAAGGCACAAAGGACAACAGAATATTTCTACATTAAACACCTTATATGCAAACAAAGAGCTTGTCATAAATCTAGAACTCTTGTGGCGGATCTCTTTGAACAGTGAAGAATGACAACTCCACTTTATCAAACCTGGAATCTTGCAAGTCAGAAGTGATAGAAACATCCCTTAAGCATGGAGTCAAGCCGGCACAAGCTTCCAGGCCCTTAGCAGTCCATGGCATTTCACTTTTTGCATGAGTCCAGATTGCAAAGAAAAAGAAGAAAGACCAACCAACATATTCAGGGCCAAAACAAAAGAAGAGACAACCAAAGCAATGGCACAAGACAGCCATGCCACCGGAAGGGGACTTACGTAGTCATGGAAGGCCTTGGCTTCACTTGAGTGCTCACAAGTCTCCCGCCTCTCTGGAGCCGCACAGTAGAGATCCCAGAATACACTGCAAAGTGACCAGAGGACACTGAGAAGCCACATAAAACAGGAGGAATATCGCACTTCTACAGCCCGAGATTAGGCAGAATCTTTCCTTCAGGGCAATGAATGCTTTCCCCTCATCCAGAGCTGGCTGGTTCTTCTGCAGCAGACGGGCAACCCCAGCCCCCCACAACAACACCCAGGAGGAACTTTCCTAAAGGTTAAACAATTTTAAAACAACACTTTTGTGCTTGTGCTCTGGAAACCAAACCCAAGGACTGCAAAAAGCTAATAATTTAACATTTCATTCTAGTGACTGGCTATTTACTTAGACTTGGTTAAAGTAATTTATAATGGTTTTCCAATGAAGAATGGCACAGTACATAATATTCTTTCTTTCTTGCTTGCTTGCTTGCTTGTTTCCGTCCTTCTTTCCTTTCTTTCCTTACAAAACAGGGTCTTGCTAAGTCACTAAATTGTCGAGGCTGGGCTCAAGCTTGCAATCCTTGCAATTACAGGAATGCACCACATCTGCCTTATTATGCTAATTTAATCATTAAGGAATGAAGTGGTTCATTAATTTTTTTCAGAATCATTTTGTCATCCAACTAAAAGTCCTATATACCTTCACCATTAAATAACACTGATAAAATGAATATACGTTCTTAATATATCATCTTTATTTCCCCCTTCAATTACCAAAATAAGGAATTTAGGAAATAAAACAATCCACTCTAAACTCCTTTTTCCCTCCTATTAAAAACATGTTTCTTGCAAAACAAAGCTCTGGCTGTCCTTCCATGTATGCGAAGCTCTGGCCATCCTTCTGTGTACACAAAGCTCTGGCATTCCTTCTGTGTAGATGGAGCTCTGGCTGTCCTTACATGTATGTGAAGCTCTGGCCGTCCTTCCATGTATACAAAGCTCTGGCCGTCCTTCCATGTATACAAAGCTCTGGCCATCCTTTCATGTATACAAAGCTTTGGCCATCCTTTCATGCATATAAAGCTCTGGCCGTCCTGCCATGTACATGATATTCTGGCCTTCCTTCCATGTAGATGGAGCTCTGGCCATCCTTCCTTGTTGATGGAGCTCTGGCTGTACTTCCGTGTAGATGGAGATCTGGCTGTCCTTCCGTGTAGATGGAGCTCTGGCTGTCCTTCCGTGTAGATGGAGCTCTGGCTGTCCTTCCGTGTAGATGGAGCTCTGGCTGTCCTTCCATGTACACAAAGCTCTGGCCGACCTTCCATATAGATGAAGCTCTGGCCGTCCTTCCATGTACACAAAGCTTTGGACATCCTTTCATGTATACAAAGCTCTGGCTGTCCTTCCAGGTACACAAAGCTCTGGCCCTCCTTCCATGTACATGAAGCTCTGGCCATCCTGTGTAGATGGAGCTCTGACCATCCTTCCATGTACATGAAGCTCTGGCCATCCTGTGCAGATGGAGCTCTGGCCGTCCTTCTGTGTACATGAAGCTCTGGCCATCCTTCCATATACATGAAGCTCTGGCCGCCCTTCCATGTAGATGGAGCTCTGGCCGCCCTTCCATGTAGATGGAGCTCTGGCCATCTTTTCATGTGTACGAAGCTCTGGCCATCCTTCTGTGTACATGAAGCTCTGGCCAACCTTCTGTGTAGATGGAGCTCTGGCCATTCTTCCATGTAGATGGAGCTCTGGCCATCCTTCCGTGTACACGAAGCTCTGGCCATCCTTCCGTGCAGATGGAACTCTGGCCATCCTTCTGTGTACATGAAGCTCTGGCCGCCCTTCCATGTAGATGGAGCTCTGGCCATCCTTTCATGTGTACGAAGCTCTGGCCATCCTTCCGTATACACGAAGCTCTGGCCATCCTTCCGTGTAGATGGAGCTCTGGCCATTCTTCCATGTGGATGGAGCTCTGGCCTTCCTTCCGTGTACATGAGGTTCTGGCCATCCTTTTGTGTATACAAAGCTCTGGCCATCCTTCCATGTACACAAAGCTCTGGCCGTCCTTCTGTGTATACAAAGCTCTGGCCGTCCTTCCGTGTATACAAAGCTCTGGCTATCCTTCCATGTACACAAAGCTCTGCCCATCCTTCTGTGTATATAAAGCTCTGGCCATCCTTTTGTGAATAGGAGGCTCCTGCCGTCCCTCTGTGTATACAAAGCTCTGGAAGTCCTTCTATATATCCCAAGCTCTGGTCGTTGTTTTGTGTAGACAAAGCTCTGGTCGTCGTTCTGTGCATACAAAGCTCTGCTGTCCTTTCATGTACATGAAGCTCTGGCTGTCCTTTCATATGTACAAAGCTTCACCATCCTTCCATGCATCAAGCTGACAAGGAGCACAAGGAAGGGGCTCAAAGTCCAGGAAAATAGCCTCATGAGTACTGGTTTTGCATAAAGGCCATTATAACATAGACACAGTTATTTCCTTCTACCTTTCTACTCCTATGAAATGGAAGGCTGGTTATGCCCATGGTCAAGAACAGCAGGTTTGGGGGAGGATGTATCTGAGAAGGATGCCTGCTCTCTGCCGACCAGCTATGGGGAGCCCTGAGCAAGCTTTTCCAGGGCCAGAAACACCATGTCCTCCTCAGTATCCTGGGATTTCTGGGGAGATTAAATGCTGCAACAGAAGCCCCGCGTTGGCCATGCAGAAGCACACAGTGTGCCTAATGGCAGCAGGAATGCCACCAGGAGCTGCATAAATGCTGACAGTCACAGATTTCTCTGGTGGCCAACATGGTGGGGGTGGAAGCAGCGAGAGCAAATACAATGATTAGCTGAACCTGAGTTTCTGACTCAAAGACTTTCGCCATCTGGGTACCTCTGCTAAGAGAAAACATTCTGAAGGACGTGACCAGTGTGAGTTCTCAGTCCAGGCAAACAAGATTGCCTCAGAGAGGAACAGCAGGGAACACTGAGTCCTGCCATCGTTTCTTTGAAGGCATTGCTTGTTTTTTTCCCTATTAAGTGGAAAGAAAATTTATCTCTTATTATTAAATTCCTGCAATAAGAAAGAAATACAAAGAAGATAAGAACAAAAGTCAATTAAATAAATCTAGTAATTTTAGGAGCATGAGACCAGTTGTACTGGGCCTCCCTACACCTCCACTGAGATCACAATGGGCAAGGCCTGTAGGTACTCAAAGATCCAGCAAAGATTGTCACCTGGATCGAGTGCTGTGAATTACACATTACTCAATTACTTGATCTCATGTTCCTAGAGAACTTCAAGGCCCTGAAAACCAGAACTTTCAAATGTAATGTTTAAGCTGTGTTTAGTTTAATCATAGATTACATAGAATATTATGGCAATCAGCTGAACAGCTCTCTTGTGCCTAATATTCTTACTTTTCCAGCAAGTCCCATAAAACTTGCCCTAAGTTTTCTTCTATCATGCTACTTCTAAATGATTCGTTATTACAAGTTATAAAGTAAGTATGAGAAATGATTATTTACACATATATAATTAAATAGTAGTCAGAGAATAGTGTGCTGTTTCACTTCTGTTTCTAGGTCTGTCCTCACTGATTTAGTGTGTCAAAGTTGTAAGATCAGGCTTAGAGATAGTTAGACAAGTTAACAATAATTTAAAAAATAAGTTTATATGTGTTATTTCTAAGAATCCAGTATGACTCACATGTGATCTTCAATAAACATAAACAAATGTGTGTATTGTTTCAAAAGGTTTCCTGCAGCAGGCCTTGTCCTAGGCACAGTCCTGCACCCCTATGACATAGTGGGCCTCTCTGTGCAGGCACAGCTGTGCTCTACCAACACCAAGCAGCCAGCCCAAGGGATGGGCAGTGACAAGGCTTGAAGAATGCTACAGCCCAGCCATAAGGAAGGGTGAGTCTGAGACATTTCTGGGCAACAGATGCAACCTGAGACTCTCCTCGTAAGTGAAACAACTCAGACCCATGTGCGCGAACACAAGCTGGCTCCCCAGGGTGAGAAGCTGGAAGAGCACATGAGGCCCAGAGCGCGCAGCAGGCACCGCGAATGGTAGCGACTGCTCAGAGGAAAGAGAACAGGCTGGGGTGGGAGGGAGGGGGGAGAAATGATTTAAAAAGGAAAAAATGGAAACAAAGCTTTGCAAATAGGAAGGGGAAGATGGGCTGAAGGGCAGAGGGGATTGGGGAAAATGAGAAGTCACAACATTACGTACAGGTACAAGTTCCCTATGAGGAAAGTGATCATTGTATATATGTAAAATGTATAACTTAATTAATAAAAAAATGCCACTTATCAGAAGAGTTTCAGAGGTAAGTCTACAGTAATGTTATATCTTATAAAAATTAAAGAATAAAATTAATTAGAAATTACGTATGGACAAATTTATCTTTAGTGGTAGGGCACTGTGTTTTAAAAGATGCATCAACTATTTTAGAAGCATCTGTATGTTCATACACATAAGAATTATGGGTGGGAAAGATACTCAGAATTTTCTTTTCTAAAAAAAAATTCTTTTCTAAAATGTGCAATAATCATTTGCTTCAAATTTTTCTAAAAATTATTAAATGCCTGGTCAATATAATATGCTATATCACAGACTGCCCAAGACATGTAATCCATGGTAAATAAGAATGCAAAACAACTGGTGAGCTGAACTAAAAATCAGTCAATTAATGGAAAGAAGGGTAGAAGCTCCACTGCACAAGTTTCCACAAATACTGTGGTGGGTGCATATGGCTCATGTTCCGACCGCGCAGTGTTACTACAAAGATACATCTGTCTCTCTTAGGGGAGCTCTAGGCCTCCCAGCAGGTAAGGCCAACAGGACACTCACTCCGTCCTCCCTGAAGTGACCATGCGGACGCGCTTTCCTAGGCCTCGCGAACCCGCTCAGCTGTGCCTCGTTCCTGACAGGCCCTCGAGCAAAGCTTCCAGCCAACTTCTCTCGGCCTGAGAAGCTCCACGCGTTCCACACTTTCTTCTCTCCACTGCTCGCTTCCCTTTCTGTGGCTTTCCTTGGAAGCTCCTCTTCATCTACCCACACGAGTGCTGACTTCCGGGGTGGCAGCCCTGGCCGTGAACTCC